TTGGAATATTGATGGTGCTTGCTTAAGTCCAAAAGGCAAAACCATCCATTCAAACAATCCTTTCGGACAGGTGAAAGTCGTCAAAAGAATGCTTGACTCTGCCATTCTGATCTGCCAAAATCCTGACTTTAGATCAAATTTGGAAAAGATTTTTCCAAATCTTGCTTTATTCAAACAAGCCAATTTGTTTGGTATCTCATAAGCATCATCAATGGTTTTCTCATTCAACTGCCTATAATCGATAACCATCCGTGCTTTTCCTCTTAATTGCTCAACTTTATTCATAACCATGAATGATGGCGAAGAGTGTGGACTTTTACTGGCGCGTATCAATTGCTTTTCCAACAATTCCGGTATTTGCTTACTGAATTCCTCCTCTGCATCGGGAGTATAAGGAAAAGATTTGGTCACAATTTTATCATCTTTCCTTTTTAACTCAAGTGAAGCAAAAACACCGTTCCTTTCCCATAACTTTAATGGTTGATCATCAAAGCATGGAGAAAGTTCCTCTTTAAAGGATTTCACAAGTTCTTCAATCCTTAAAGAGTTTTCTTGGCTCTTGTTTTGAGTTTTCTTGGCTCTTGTTTTCGATTTTCAAGATGTTCTCCTTAGGTTTGAATTTATCCGTGCTTTCAGGACATGCACCAGAGGGGTCAACCTCCTGCGATATATCCCGTGCGATCCGGTTTATATGATGACTAGGATACAGTCTTTGAAAGAAAACATTACAAGCCTCATCCATTTCTTATGCATCAGAAGTGGAATATATCAAATGATTACCGTAGGTCGAATTGGAATTACAGAATCCTGTCCCGGGCCATGAACCTCCGTATCTGCACCAGAGTTCATTCGTATAGAATTAACAGAATTTATCAAATGATAAATCAACCTATATTGAATTGCTATTCCGTCACTAGAAGCCATCAAGTCTTCTAATCCTAAAGTATGAATTCGAAGAACCATAATCTGTTTAAGGTTTGGATCCATAAGACTAACCATATAACCTGGTTTAACAGTCCTGTAGGCATCTCCCAAAGCTAAATTAACGTGAAAACTGCCAACTAGAGCTTTACCAAACGTAAGTCATCGTGTGTCCAGTAAGGCAACCTGAACAGGTACATTCATTCCTCCACGGAATAGTCCCTGCACACGAATTTGTACAGCACCAAGTTGTACATAGTTATACTTGCCATTTGCCCGTTTGGCAAGACTTCTAACCTTCTGTAGCCACTCATCGTCTGAGAGTATTAATTCACCCTCTCGAAACTGAGATAATGCTACACGAACAGGCTTTTCGTGTACATCTTCTAAGCCTTCAGCTTTGAATAACCACTTAGAGCGTTTTTCAAAAACTTCTCTAGGTGTTAACCTCGGAATTACCTAAGTCTCTGAGTTACCCGAGTGATCCTCGTAATTAGATGATGAACTAATTACCGAGTTAGGGTTTTCATCTTCATTTCTAATTGGGATAAGATCATCCTCATCACCAATACCACTATTCCTAGGATATTCATTAAGACTCCTAGACTTTTGCATGAATATACCTATGCGTTGAAGATTTGAAGATTGTTACTCAAAAGTCATGTCTTTTGAGTCATCCTCTGAAGAATCTGAATCATCAGAGTAATCCGAAACTAATTCATAAACTTCATCATCTGAATTAATTTTGTATCCCCAAACTGGCTCAAATTCAGAAGTTTGGCTTTCCGCGTTGATTTCCAAAAATCTTACCGCTGCCTTCTTCTTACCCTTATGAGGGCATTTATCCGCAAAATGATTTTTGTCACCATAAATCCAGCAACAATTACAATCTTTTGCATTCTTGCCAGATGGGCAGGTAGCACAAAACTTACACGCTCCGCATTCCTTAGGGTTAAGTCTACATTTCCCTGTGCGCCTAATAAACCTTCTGTGATCTGGAAGATTCCGTTTATTAGTAACAGGTCGTTTTACCATATTACGAAAACGGTTCGGCTTAAAGTTCCTTTTACCGAATGATCCTTTTCGTTTCATATGGTTTTTCCAACCTTGATGTTTAGTCGAACTCCTCGACTCACAGCCATATTGTCCTAGCACTCTATCAAAGTTTTGACAATAAGATTCATTGAACTCAAGCCTTTTAGCTTCCTTATTCAGCTTGGCATTCAAACATCTTGTCCTCACGAGTTGTCTAACAGCTTCTATTCTTCCTCCTAAAGAATCAACTACCTGATTCTTTTCGAGTAAAAGCTTAAACGCCTCGTTTGCTGCCTTATCCCATTCTTAGGGAAGCTTAGCAAAGAAAGTATTCTTCATGACTTCCTGTGTACCACCAGGCAACTGATAAAAATATCATCTATACTCACAGACGAAATTTTCAAACAGATACATGTCACAAAGCCTAAGCTTTGTCAAAGCTTCTAAGGCAACTACCTCCGCGAGATTCCTACGGGTAATTGTTATCCCAGTAAATTCTCTACAGAGCATATCCTTGAAGAGAGCAAAAATAGATTCTGCATTCTTCAAGTCCCTTACAGTATCTAACAGACCCGTACCAGCTTCTAGACTTCTCCAAAAGCTTCCTGCAGCGCCTTGCAGTGTGGATCTTAGAAACTTGTAAGTATCACTGAGTCCAAAATTCTTGTTTTGGATATGAACCTAGTTAACAGTTTCCCATTCCTCGATCGCATCCGTTACATTTGTAACATAATCGATATTTAGGAAACTTCTGCCAGACGGTGTCTCCACCATTCTAGGTATTCCCATAGGTACAAACTCTGACCTTATCTTTGTGGGATAAGTTTGTTTGTATTCGGGTTTGGAGATTTCCTTAAGAAATCCTTCGAAAGAATTTAAAGGATTACGAATTCCTACAAGAGGATCATCTTTAAACTCAGATTCCCTGAGTCTCGAGATTAGCTCATCGAGCTCCGCCTTTTTAGGACCTGGACCTGGAGTCGATTTTAATCCTCTAGTTTCTTCTCCTTTCCTTTGTTTCTTCATTTCTTCCTCATAATACCTGCTGATTCGCTCAGCATCTGAGGTAGAAATTTTCGGAATATCAACCTTCCGTTTTCCATCTACTTTAGAAACAAAGTCTTCTTCCTTGACACCTTTCATAAAGAGTTTTTCCGCCTTTTCCCAATCACCTTGGGTTTCTTTGGCCACAAACTGTGCATATCTTGGAGGCAATCTAGGATATTTTTCCTACAAATTAGCCGCGAACTGATCCAAAACATCCTGACCACCCATGGTCAATCTAAATCAGGTCTCAACTCAGTTGCAAAGTCTGACTCTTTATAAGGTTTGGGATCTGGATCCGGCTGGGATTCGCCGTACCAATAAGGAATTACCGCCTCAGCCTTTTCCAACCACTTATTCCGAACTTTCAACCATTATGTGTTGGGTGTAAATGGTATCAGAGCTCTGATACCATTTACACCCAACACATAATATTTGTTATACCCAGTCTAACAAATATTATTACAATTAAATAACTAAACAAACAATTTTCCTTTCATTATTTTAGTATTTGAATTCAATATTAGAAATGTATTTATAAATTTAAGAATGTTTTTTGTTGTATTAAAAGAAATGTGAATGTGTTTTCGCTACTGAATAATAAATCCAACCATAAACTCCAAATATATTTGAAGCATTAAAGAATTCACAAGCTTTGATGATTGATTTATTATAGTTTGGATTGCTTATAAATTAGAGTATATAATATTTACATCCATACACTGAAAAGCAAATAAACAATCATAGACAGCTTAGATCATATATTATTTTGTTAGCTTAAACAAACTATAACAAAAGCAACCACATAATCATGTTTTAAATATTGCTTATTGAGACACAATACAACTGAAAATAAAATTCATTCACAAAAAAACTAAGAAATGAAGTTAAGAAACAAAAGAGAAGATCATAAGATCTTTTGCAAAAGAAGATAAACTCTTGTTCTCCTAAGAGAACTTTGTATTCGAACTATTATGATTGCTTATGCGTCAATGGCCTTACTAATTATAATTTTGCATTTACAATACATTTACTTTTTCAAAAATACTACATTTACAATTTTTTTCTCACAATCCTAATGTGACAGTTCATAATTGGTCAGCTTACAATAGATCTCACCTGATAAATTGCGACTACTCATTAATAAATTCAACAATAAGTTTCAAACATATATAAAACATATTAAAAATATATGTTATGCATAAAGTTTTTTTGTTTTGTCATACAATTAACAGAGATCTCATAATTTAGCTTGCAATATTACTGAGGAATTTAACTAGCATATTACGATTTAGATTTTTAGTTTCAGTTTAATCTTCGAAATGAATAATAGAAAGACGTGGCAAATTTTTTCCACCCTAGTCAAAGAGGTGACCGATAGATTGGTTTTAATTTGGGCCACGAGCTTCGGATTGGCAATATTAGGCCAAGGCCTGCCCAAACTGAGATGTATATGGAAGTGTCATCCCGTATTGCCCGCACCCCACCACATAACTATGTCACTGTATGGGTGATGGGCTTGTTGCACATAGCTAACTACTGATGGTGTATGGTTTTTCGAGTGATACTGATTCTAGTTATCAAAGTCAAACCTCTTCTAACATGTTACAAAGTTAGGAAATAAAGACAAAATAGAAAGAAGGATCATAGAATACTGAAAGCATTTGTTCTCGTATCTTAGTTTGTTTAGGTTCCTACAGGGCCATTGTTTACTAGAGCTTGATTCTTTAGGGCTTATACAAAGCATTGCTGTCCAAGAAATCACACTTTAGTTTTGCTTTGGAGAGATGAATTTTATTCTTCTGATTTCCCGTGCTGCTATGGACCCATTATGGAAAATTTATTCTCACAATTCTTTCTCAACATTTTTTTCCTTCCAAGTGTTAATTTCCATGAAGTTTCTGACATTTCATGTCAAATCCAGCTTAATTCTTTAAGGAAATGTTGCATACTCAACAAAAATGAAGAAACTATTACACATTCAAATAAAATTTCAGCTGACTATCGCAGTGTTTCACCTGTAAGGAGAGTTACTACCTTGTAGCTTAATTAGAGAGTAGTAGGCTCCAGTCCCTGTGGCTAGTAGATTGGAGTGCGACCCTTGTTCCACAACCTTCCCATTCTTTATCACAGCTATGGTGTCTGCCTTCTGTATTGTGGACAATCTGTGAGCTACAATTACACATGTTCTCCCAACCATCATCTTCTCCAATGCTTCCTGGACAAGATTCTCTGACACATTGTCAAGTGCACTCGTCGCCTCATCCAAAAGTAAAATCATCGGATCCTTCAATACTGCTCGAGCAAGGGCAATCCTCTGCTTCTGCCCTCCAGACAGCTGAACTCCTCTTTCTCCACAGTACGTTTCATAACCATCTTTCATGGAACTGCACATCAAAATTCAAATAAATATGTGTCACCACAAAGAAAAGTAGTGTTTCTGTTGTACATTTATAACTCTGTCAGAGAGGAGACTACCTTATAAATTCGTGAGCATTGGCTAGAGTTGCAGCCTTCCTTATTTCAGCTTCTGTAGCATCCTCTTTACCGTAAGTAATATTCTCGCGGATAGTTCCTGCAAAAAGTGTCGGCTCCTGACTTACTAACGCAATACGTAACCTCAAACTTCTCAAGTTGTAGTTCTTGATGTCACATTCATCTATCAAAACTACTCCACTTTGCGGGTCGTAAAATCTTTCAATTAACCCAATAATAGTAGATTTTCCCGACCCACTTTGTCCGACAAGTGCCACTGTTTTTCCTCCTTCAATTTTCAAACTTAGGCCGCAGAAGATCATTTGGTCAGGTCTTGATGGATAACAGAAGAATATATTTTTTAGTTCTATGTGTCCGGATGTATCCTTTATAGCTTCCTTACCTCTAGGCTCTTCAGGTTCTATCTCACTTCTCCTGTCTAGAATTGTAAAAATTGTTTTGATGGCATTGCCTCCTTTTGCTAAATCAGAAGTCATGCTCCCTGCATCTGCAATGTTCTTGCCGGTGCTCATCAGGATGAAGAATGCTTGAAAAAGGTGTGTTGGTGTGACCAATCCTTGATTCATTATCCTCCCTCCATACCAGTAAACCAATGCTATAGAAGCTGTTGTGAGAAATTGGGAGGTGAACAAGCCAATTCCTGAAAACCATGATTGTTTGATGCTCTCCTTCTTTGGGCCTTTCATTGTTTCTATGAAAAGACCCAATATCCTGTTCTGAGAGGAAAAGGCTGTAATAGTCCTGTGGTTAATGGTAGCTTCACTTGCTAGTTGGCTTCCCTCATTTTGTGCTTTCCGAGCTTTTTCTGACATACTTTTCATCAGAACACTTTTAGAGTAAAAGCTCCCGATGACTAAAGGCTGAATGGCAATCATAATAATGGCTATCCTCCATGTAACCAGCAATCCCAGTGTAAAAGCCAGCGAAGCACTGAAGAAGACCTGAATCAGTAATGACATCCGATCTGCAATGAAGGATTGAACCATGTTAGCTTCATTAGCTAGTCGTGCACAAATTGCTGCGCTTGTGTTCTCGTCCTGATCAAACCACCCAATTTCAAAGGTGAGTATTTTTCCAAGCATTTTCTCTCGCACTTTTTTGACTAAATGCTCTCCCATGATCGCAAAATTGTAATGTTGAAGGAGATGAGAGATGAAATTTAAAACTGTTAGTCCTAAGAAGATGAAGCAATACATTCTGGTTTCTGATTTGATCCTGGAATTGTCTTTAAGAAAGTAAACCGAGACAACTGATCCTAAGCAGTAAGCATATACTGGATTAATTGCTCCAGAACCAGCAGCACCTACACACCCAAGTACAGTTCTTTTCCATTCAGTTACACTCATTTGCAGCAAACGCAGTTTGGTAGAAGGAGAATCAGGATTATTCTTTATGTTTTTTTCATTTTGGTTTTCATAGCCATGCATTTGGAAGGAGTGTGCCATGTCGATTGAAAATACTGGGCTAAATGGATAGACCGGGCTGTTTTGATAACTTGATCTCACACTGAGTGGTGTCTGAGGAGTCTGGGCTCTCATCAAGCTAATATGGTTTCTACCTTCTGTTTGATTACTCGTTGCTGATCCCTGCAATTTCACCATTTTGCTATAGGCCCCACCTTCTCCATTGTTCATTTGCATCAGCTCATCATGAGAACCAGATTCGATCACTCTTCCTGATTGAAGTACAGTTATCAAATTAGCCTTACGAATTGTGGTGAGACGGTGAGCTATAATAATTGTTGTCCTTCCTTGAGAAGCCTGGTCCAAGGCTTCCTGTACTATTTTCTCAGACTGTGCATCCAGAGCACTTGTGGCTTCATCAAGTAAGAGAATTTTTGGATCTCTTATTAAGGCCCTTGCAATCGCAATCCTTTGTTTTTGACCTCCTGACAACTGAACTCCGAGTTGCCCTACCTGATTGAAGTATACCAAGTCAATTGTAGCAATAGAAAATCAATTTGATTTGTTTGATTAAGAACATACAACATTGGCTTACCTTGGTTTCATATCCATCTGTTAACTTAACAATGAAGTCATGGGCATTTGCAGCCTTAGCTGCCTTCACAACTTCTTCCATTGAAGCTCCTTCCTTCCCAAACAGAATGTTTTCCATTATTGATGTTGCAAAAAGAATAGGCTCTTGATTAACCAGTCCCATATGGGATCTTAACCATTTAAGCTGAAGCCTCTTTATTTGGTGTCCATCAAGGAGAATGTTCCCGTTGACAGGATCATAGAATCTCTCAAGCAAAGATATTACTGTGGACTTGCCAGAACCACTGCCTCCAACAAGACCCACAGTCTTACCTGCTTGCACTTTTAGATTGAATCCTTTAAGAATTGGGGTATTAGGTCTTGTTGGGTAACTGAAGTCAACCTCTTTAAATTCTATCTCTCCTCTCACATATGCTCGAATTTTCCCCTTTTCGTCTTCAGAATTTATATCTGGAATTCGATCAATCATCTCAAAAATCCGCGTGGCAGCAATGGTTGCCTGGGAGATGAAAGAGAGATTGGGCAGCGCACCCATAATTGCCCTGGACAAACGAAACCTGTCAGTTTTTAGAAAATAACTATATACAAGGTAGTACTTACATACAATTCCTGGCATGAATGCAAGCAACTTACACTCCTCCTATTGTCGTACAGACCGCAGCAATAAAAACAGCACCACCTTTTTCTCCTCTCTCAGTAACAAGGACGCTTCCGACCCAAGACTGGAAAGCCCAAGCTGCATAAATCATTCCCATGCTCCCCATCAACAATCCTTTAGTGAAGCCTTGTTTTATACCAAGCTCCATTCTTTCCTGCAGAGCATGGCTAAACCTGTTTAGTGTTTGATTCTCCCCAACATATGAATAGACAGTTCGAATTGATGATATTGCTTGTTCTGCAATCCCACCAGCGATGTCATAAGCATCCTTGCCTTTCCCTCCTAATTTCTTAAGTACCGTCCCAAACACAACTCCTGGAACGATAAACAAGAGTGAAAATGGTAAGGCGGCCAGTGCCAGTCGCCAAGAGAGTATAAATGCAACTCCGAGGCAAAAGATGAATGATGTGAGGTGAGCTAGGGTATTAGGTATCTACAAACAGAAAAATAGATGCCGTCAGTATAAGAACAAGGAGGGAAAAGAAAACAAAAAAGCGTGAGACGACAGTTAATAACTTTCTCGGCAATGGTGTCTTGGATTGTATGAGCGTCTGAGGAGATGATGGAGACGACTTGGAAGGTAGTGGAAGAAGCAGTCTGGTTGTCAAAGTAACTGACTTCTTGCCTGAGGACTGATTTCAGGTATTCCACCCTCATACGAGATGCCTGTCTCTCTGCAGTTCTTGTCCAACAGACTCCTTCTGCAAAACGAAAGCCTTTCTGATAAAATTCCAAGAATGAGAGGAGACATGTGCTTGATGTATATTTGGCGAAACTATTTTACATGCAAGTTTTGGCAGCCTAGTTTTAAGACCTCAAACAACTTGAAAGCCAGAGTGCAGCATGACAACTTTTGTATTTGAGGGACCACATTTGTCTTGCAAACACGACACCTTTGGTTTTCTCTAGGTCTAAGCACCGTTTCTCTAACGAGCCAACGGGCTATGAAATTGGAAAAGGACCAATTGGATATGAACTGAACCCAAATAACAAGAAAAGTATCAGAAAGATACATACCAATGAAAGCAGATACTCCCACTAAGATTGCAACATAGAGCAGCCTGAGCGTGTACTGTATACAGGATGAATGGCAGCTTGTTAACCATATATTTTGGTATGTAAATTTAGTAGAACTAGCCACTAATTCAGTTGACTTTTTACCATAAAACTTATATTCTTTATATTAGAATAGATGCACTATTTGATGTAATATTTGAGTACCTTGTCCACGATCTCATTGGAGGCAGAGATATCAGAGGATCCAAGCTCGTTGATAACACCGCTAAGCACATACATGGAAAGTGGAGACATCATCCCATCTCCCATGCTGCCCAGAATTCCAAACAACAGCAACAATTTGTCCGTCCTATCAGCATAACGAAAGAGCCCACCTTTGCTTTCGGTCCCCATATCCCTACTATCTTCAAGTAATAATGATCTTCCACCCCTCCACTTCTGTGAGTTACCTTCTCTACCTCTCAGTTTGTTGAAAACAAAGACAAATTAACTTAATTTATACATCAAATAACGCATATATATTACGGAGTTACTATGCATGTATTGAAAAAATTACTAGAGGTGTAGCACAGGTGCCATCCTTATTGTCTTGCACAAACTTCTTATGCCATATGGACAGTAAAAAAAATGCCACGAGTTAAGCCGGCATCTTTAGGTAATCCTCTGGTCTTGTCACACTGTGAGTTTTTGATTCAATCTATTGATTTGGGGTTTTTCCCTTTAGCCGATTGGATAATTGGGAATTAGATAAGAGTCTAAGAAGTGCTTGTCTTTTGTGTTAAATTTCAACATAACTGTAATCTATCACTATCAGTCATGTTAACAATGGAGAATCTATGATTTTAAGTAGCATGGTACAAAAAGCCAGGCTTCAGAGATCCTACAAGCTAAGCTTCTACCAGCAATTTGGGATTATGATAAGAACCAGTCAACCAATTACACGGCGGGCCAAGTCCACAAGTCGGCATCATCAAACATCAATGTGAGACAGAAGTGTTCGTGTTGTGTCCCTTTTCTATTTGTTTAGTAGGTAACGGCGTTGCTAAATTATTGTTTGTCGCCGGAAAAATAGTGTTGGACGGGACACGAATCACCAAAGGGTACATCAACATTTTAAACAAAGATTTGTATTCAGCTTCAATCCAAGAACAAGGAAACCAAATCGGAATCTATGATAATGACACCTTTACATAAACTCCCAACACATCTTTGTGCTGAAAGTTAATTTTCCTGAGAAAAATTTATTTATCTAAATGGGCCGGACTGTGGCAAATAAGCCCAATCTTCGTTTTGTACTCTGCAGACCCATTTATGCACGATCTTCGTGTACGGGTGGGAAGCAGGGTTCATGATAGTCAATGCACATCCACTGCACCATATAACTCTTCGTCGACCTTTAATAGCCTGATTTTCTCGATCCCTCGCAAAGGTGTGATAATCTGATAGATTGATAACTCGATAATCAACAAATTCAAAATCAGAGATGGTGAAAGTGGCGACATACTTTGCAATGACACTTGGAGCCTTCATCTTCTGGCAGTCCATGGATAAAGTCCACGTCTGGATCGCCCTCCATCAGGACGAAAAGGTTTGGCTGCCGTCTTTTCTTTTCTCAATCAATATTATTAATTTCTTGTACTTGTACTTTGACTTGTTACTGTTAGTTTATAAGATCTCCCTTCAAAGTTATTTTCCCATTTGATTCATGTCATTGCATTTTCCCAATTCGATAAAAACCCTAGAGTTTTCAGTGTACATTTACGTGTTTGACTGATTTTTTTTGTCTTGATGTTTCAGAAAGAGAGGCTGGAAAAGGAAGCGGAGATCAGCAGAGTGAGAGAAGAACTACTTAAAGAAAACAAATACAAGGATGCGCTGTAATTCCGTTTGTATTGTTGCTCTTTTTGTTATCAATTGATGAATTTTCTCATAAGCATGATGTGTACTGTAAGTTCATGCCATAATTGTTATCAAAGCTGATGAAATTTGTGGTTTAATTAGCTTTTTATTTTCCCAATGAGTTTACACTCTTACTGCATCTAGTTTTATCTATGATTTGTTAAATGAGGTGCGGCATTGTCTTGGAAAAATATTTTTATGTGAATTTCGTAGAATTAATCTGTGAACTTCTGTTTTCGGTGCGCTATGATATGTTCTGAGCCTCTGGGTTTTGTTTTTCAAATGACTCAGCAGAAAACATGGAGTTCCCCCAAATGCATTTTGTATACATTGTTTATGTTCATGTCGGCTGCAACGCATACCACCTCTGCTTCCAAATAAAATACAATTTGTTTGGATGAGACTTGATACGTTGTTTTGTAAGCTAACTGTGGTTCACCATTTCCCAGCAACCTTTTAGTTGTACTGTCTATCAAGATTGTAGGGTTAGCAGCATTCCCCACTCCCAGGTTCAAAATCTGTTGAACTTGTAAGATTGATCAGGGGATTTCTGAAATTGAAAAGAAAGAAAAAAAATATATGGAATTGATGATGAAAGTCAATTGCATAAAGATATATTTAGTATACTACTATATCAACAGCGTTTGGTATTGGTTTACTTTTCCCCTCAAGCTATCTGTGCAACATTCAAAGCCGTTTGTTGCTGAGATAGTGCATAAAACTCTGCTAAGTCTGAGAAAGGGTTTATTTACATTATTAGACATGTTTTCCTTTGTTGCTTCATTGATTTTTATTTATGTCAACGGCTTTACAAATGTAACTGGATATGGTGAATCTGCTTAAGGGAATTTGATTAGATGTTGAGAAGGCCAGTGAATTGTAAATAATTTAAACTGAGTTAGTTTATTGCTTTGAGGACCATAAACATCTTGGTACTTTTGTTTTGTTGGGCTCTTAAGCTATTCATTGTAAGCCAGTATCTGAAATCATTCGCTGTACTTGCAAATGTAATTGGCACATAAAGGTGCTTAAGGAATTTGATTAGGTTTTGAAAGAATGCCAGCTTGTGTTAAAGTATTCATCTTGAGCATCTCTTTACTGTATGTATCTTAAGCGGTCCAGCAAGCCACAGTTCCTGTAATTTGGCACGTTCCTTGACAGGCAAATTGCTTGCATTTGTTGAAAATTCTTTAAGTTGAAATCTCAGCTATCTGTTATTCCACCAGTTGAAATCTCCTGCAGTTAGTCCAGCTTTTTCATATCCGATTTGACCTATGGACAAATATGCAAGCATTTCCTTTCATAGAAAGCTTTTACTCATGACTTGTGTTTGATGTTTGCACACCATCAAAGTATTGTGTATGGTTGGCCAATGACAGCGGGGATGAACTTGGACAACTCCATCCATTAAATTTCAGGTGAATTCCTATTGTAAGAGAGACAGAAAGAAAAAGGTAAATCTGAACACTGTTCACAAGAGGGTTACTGATATTATAACTACTATAATGAAGTGGTCCTATGACACCGCCATTTGTGTAATAACTCCAAACTGATCATGTTGGCAGTTCCAAATTTATACGCGATACATTTACAGAGAGCTAGGATTTGTGAAGGTAGTGTAGTCAATGAAATCAAGTTTATGATGTTTTGATCCAAATATAATGTAAAATTCAGAATTTGACATTGATATGATGGTCTCTCTGGACATGGTTCAGTACCAAGTACTGACCTTCCGGTCTAATCTGGTCGAGCTGTACCCTTGGTATGCAGGTTCAACAAAACACTCGTCTACCGCTGACACCTGTTTATCTACTTTTTGAACAAAAGGATTTGCAGTTAGAGCACTTCTAAGGACTAGCAAGAAATCGTGTTTCAAGTCGGCTGGTAGCAAAATCATTTCGTCAGCTTCTGCAAATAAGTTAAAACAAGCTCAACATGGTTATCATGTTAGCTTTATAGAGATTACACAAACTGTACAAATTCGATCTCTAAATATAGATAGATAGATATAACCTTTGAAAAGGGCATTTGCTTTTCCCCTTGGTTTCTGTTTAAAGCTCTAAAACGCTATGATTACAGTCTCCACCATACTTCTATATAAGGACATGATTATATTACTAGATAAAAATCAAACAGCTTTATTTCCCGTATATCTAGTTTATACATTCGCAATACTCAACATCACATGATGGATACCAAAAAATTCTTACTGGTGGGTTTGTCACTGGTTCTGGTTTTTGCTTTGGCCGAAAGTTTTGATTACCCTGAGAGTGACTTGGCTTCCGAAGAGAGCCTCTGGGACTTGTATGAGAGATGGAGGGGCCACCACACATTGTCGCGCGACTTGAAGGAAAAACAAATGCGCTTCAATGTGTTCAAGCAGAATCTGAAGCATATTCACAAGGTGAACCAAATGGATAAGCCTTACAAGTTGAAGCTCAACAGGTATGCCGATATGACCAATCATGAGTTTTTGAGCACCCGTAGTTCAAAGGTAAGCCACCACAGAACGTTACATGGTCCCCGGAGAAACACAGGGTTCATGCATGCCAAGACCAGCGATCTTCCTCCATCTGTTGATTGGAGGAAGAATGGAGCAGTCACCGGTGTCAAGAACCAAGGCAGATGTGGTAAGAACGACTTTTCTTAGTCTTTGATTACAATTTAAAATACATAACCAGGAAATATTACTGTCAATAATGTTTTGTTCCTTCCTCGGTTTCCATCTCTGAAATGCTTCAGATTGCACAAAGATGACAATTACAGTTATTCAAAACAGCAAATTCTATATGCCTGGTAAAATTATTGATGTGCCAAAAAAACACCACGTCATGATAAATTGAAAACGAGGTGTAGTTCATGTTGTTAAATCATTTCGGGCAATTTTATGGTATCATTTAGTTGTTGTAGCTTTGCAATCCCCCTCTTCCTCAAGGGGAAACGCATCCTGAATTACAAGTTTGTTTCCACCATTATCCATAACCTTTGCCTAAAATTTACTGCAAATTGTTAATTTTATAGGAAGCTGTTGGGCATTTTCAACTGTAGTTGCAGTGGAGGGCATTAACAAGATAAAAACAGGTCAGTTATTGTCGTTGTCTGAGCAAGAGCTGGTTGACTGCGACAAAGACAACCATGGCTGTGACGGAGGATTAATGGAGCAAGCATTAGACTTCATTGCAAAAAGTGATGGATTAACAAATGAGGAAAGTTATCCTTATACGGCCAGAGATGGATCCTGTGAGTTACCTAAGGTAAGTAACTTGTAAAATAGATAAGATTACAATGTCAGTAACAGAGGCTCTACCTTAATACGTAAACCGCTTATCGTCTTGCAGAAGAATGCCCCGGAAGTGATTATTGATGGCTATGAAATGGTACCAGAAAGTGATGAGAATTCCTTGATGAAAGCTGTAGCAAACCAACCTGTAGCAGTTGCAATAGATGCTGGTGGCAAGGATTTTCAATTCTACTCCGAGGTAACAGTTTTCAGGCTCCTGTTAGCAAGAGATAAATCCCAAATCACATTTTCTAGTCTTCAATTATTTCTTTAATTGTACAAGCATTTTGATCATATATGTACAACATGAGTGATTTAATTGCAGGGAGTATTCAATGGAGACTGTGGGACAGAGCTGAATCATGGAGTGGCTATTGTAGGATATGGAGAAACTCAAGATGGAACAAATTATTGGATAGTGAAGAATTCATGGGGAACTGACTGGGGAGAAAAGGGTTATTTAAGAATGCAACGAGAGATCAATGCCGAAGAAGGGCTGTGTGGTATAACTCTGGAAGCCTCCTATCCAGTCAAGTTGAACTCAGACAACTCAAGACGTCCTCGCAAGGATGAACTCTAGTTCAGTAGAATCATCTATTGTCACTTGGGTTTTATGTTAAAAATCAGACTCGTCTTTTCCACTCCATGACAGGCTCATAAAATCCGTCCAGGAAAGTAGGTGCTTTGCTTAAACAAGAGCTCTATTGTTTCATGTAATAATTTGGATCTGAATAAACCTGTTGTTATGCAAACTAAAAGGATTCTACAATATATCAAACATACGCACACAATCAAATCAAGAACAACAAGAACACGGGGTTTTACTGTGGTTCACTTATCTTTATAGGATAAGCTACATCCACGTTAAGCTCAGGAAAGAGATGAGCTCGCTGCACGCACTATTATCTCAAGATTCACGATTACAACACAGCAAATCCAAGACAACAAAGAAACACCCACCCTAATACAATATATGTCGTAATCAGCCCTTAGAGTAACTCACCTGGAAACTCTAATCTGTGAGAACAACACCCACACCAGAATGATTAAACCTCTAACCACTCTAAACTTTATTGATTACACAAACTTGAGTATGAACCCTTTGCAAAACCTAACTCTCAATAGGATATCGAAGATCACAGTGCCTCTATCTCTATTTCGAATAAAGCAGCTGAGTTTATATAGGGTTGACCTGATGGCTGGATTGAGGCCATTGGATTTGAAGACTAATCTGCGGTCTGGATATAATTGATCTCAGGTATGAAACGACGTCGTTCTACTTACCCAAAACGACACTGTTTTTAGGCTTCCACTTCAACAATCTCCACCCTGGAAGCTGTAGAAAACAATTCCTTTGTGTAGCTTGCTCAGTCCCATTCCCTCATGGCTCTTGTCACTCCAGATTATTTTACAAACAACAAATTCAAGCAATGCTTAAATTTTGCTGGAATGACTATCTATCTTGGTGCCCATGTCTGCTGGGTTCTCCTCTGTAGCAACCTTCCTTAACTCAATAACCCCTTTAGTAATTAGATCTCTCACAAAGTGGTAGCGGACATCCACATGTTTAGTTCCTTTGTGGTACACTGGATTCTTACTCAAGTGTATAGCACTTTGACTATCTGAGTAAACTGTCACCTTCCCACTGATTAAGTTGGCTTCTGTCAGAATTCCCTTTAGCCATAGCGCTTCCTTAAACACATCAGTCACTACAATATACTCGGATTCAGTTGAGGAAAGGGCCATAATTGGCTGCAGTTGAGACTTCCAACTTATACAATTTCCACCCAATGTGAAGAAGTAGGCTGTAGTTGATTTTCTGGTATCTTTGTCCCCTGCAAAATCAACATCTACAAACCCAACCAGATCAAGTGCAGAATTCCTTTTACAATATTCAAGACCAACACATACAGAATTATTTATGTATTTTAACATCCATTTCAAGGTTGTCCAATGCTCCATACCAAGGTTAGACATATACCTACTTAACACAGAAATGGCAAATGCTAAATCTGACCTAATACTTATCATTGCATACACAAGGATCCCACAACATTAGCATACGGGACACACTCCATTTTCAACACATCTGCCTCAGTTTTGGGGCATTGGGATTTACTAAGTACACAATGACTTGCCAAGGGCATTGAGACCAGTTTAGCACCTGCCATGCCAAACTTTATGACTAGCTTCAGTAAATATGATTGTTGGTGCAGCCTTAGTTCACTTTTTCTTCTATTCCTATTTATCTCCATGCCTAGTATTTTCTTGTCACACCCTAGGTTTTTCATATTGAACTCAAAACTGAGTTTCTTCTTTAAATCACTAATTTGGGACTTAGACTTACTTATCAACAACATATCATCAACATATAGGAGTAAGTAAATAGGCATGCCATTATTCATTTTAAAGTATAAGCAAATATCATATTGGCTTCTAGTAAACCCTATACTCACTATGAATGTGTCAAACCTCTTGTACCACTGTCTAGGAGACTGTTTTAAGCCATATAATGACTTTTTAAGGAGACATGCATGGGCTGGGGCCTTAGGGTCAACAAAATCCATTGGCCAGCTCATATAAATATGTTCCTCTAGGTTTCCATGTAGAAAGGCAGTGGTGACATCCACCTACTCAAGTTCCTGGTCATGATGAGCTACAACTGACAACATCATTCTGATTGTTTTGTATTTAACCACAAGGGAAAAGACTTCATTGAAGTCTATACCCTTCCTTTGGGTATACCCCTTTGCCACAAGTCTAGCTTTATACCTAGGGGGATCAGCTATAGAAATACCATTTTTAAGTTTGAAGTGCTACTTACATTAAGTTAGCTTTTGGTCTCTCGGTTTTGGAACCAGAGACCATGTGGCATTTACCTTTAAGGTTTGCATTTCCTCCTCCATGGCTTCTCTCCATTTATCCCTATCTCTGGACTCCATAGCCTCTCGATAAGTCTCAGGTTCAGACCTTAGAACTTCTGTACTTGCAAGAAGAGTAATATAAATCAATTCAGCATATGAATATCTTGAAAGTGGTCTTACGTCTCTCCTTGTTCTGCCTCTGGCTAGCTGATAGTTCATCAGTTCATCCTGTTGTGATTCCAAGAACTTTTTAGCTTCATCATCTATAACTTGATCAGTTACACCAGGTTCTGATTCCCCTCCAGGTTACTGCTGTGCTTGCATTTGAGGTGGATCAGGTTGCTGAGCTGTAGGCTCCACCTCAATTTGAGTAGCATTAGGTTGAACAGTTTCAGTTCCTGTATTCTTGTATGTGCCTGCATCAAGGTTAGTCTTTTTGCAAAGGAAGACTCACTCATTGAACACTACATCCCTGCTCACTATGATTCGAACCCCTGGAGACTTTCTATCCCACAGCCTGTACCCTTTTTGTGCCCTTGGTATCCTAGGAACACACACCTAGTGGATCTAGGTTCTAGTTTGCCTCTTTGTGTGTGAGCATAGGTTGTACATCCAAACACTCTGAGGTGGCCTAACTCTGGTTTTCTCCCAGACCACCTTTCTTCAGGACAGACTAATCCTATGGCTGTGGAAGGACTCTTATTTACTAGGTAAGCTGCTATAGTGAGGGCCTCTCCCCAGAAGGTTTTTGGAAGATTTGAAGTTATCAATAGGCACCTAACCTTGTCTAACAGGGTTCTATTCATTCTCTCAACTACCCCATTTTGCTGAGGTGTGTTTCTCACTGTTCTATGCCTCAAGACCCCCTGTTCATTATAGAATCTATCAAACTCCAGGTTACAGAACTCAAGCCCATTGTCAGTTCTCAAAGCCTTAACCCTTCTACCAACTTGGTTTTCAACTAGCACCTTCCAATCTTTAAACCTAGCTAAAGCTTGATCCTTTGACTTTAGCAAGTAGACCCATACTTTCCTACATCTACAATAGAGAGGAAATAATTGTTTCCTCCATGTGTTTTTACTCTTTCACGTCCTCATAAGTCAGAATGTAAGTAGTCAAGGCAATTAGTAGCTAAGTGAGTTCCTTTAGAGAAGTTGTTTCTATGTTGTTTACCTAGGACACAGTTCTCGCAAAACTCTAAGGTATTGATAGTGTCTTTCCCAAACTGCCCTTGTCTATTTAGAACATCCATCCTCTTTGACTCATATGACCCATCCTCAAATGCCACTTTTCAGTCACAAATAAATTTGAAGAAACAAGTGCAATATTATTACATTCAAAATAGAAGCTTCCACAGAGAATATAGAGGCCATTTTTCTTTTCTCTTGTTAAGATTAGCTTTTCATTTTTATAGACATTTAACCACCCATTGTCAGCCCTATAGCAGCATCCTGCTTCATCAAGAGTACCTAAGGATATGAGGTTTCTCTTAAGATCAGGAATGTACCTCACTTTGGTTAGTCTAATCAGTTTTCCCCCACGTAACCTAAGGGTTATGCTGTCTATTCCCTTAACCCTACAGGCTTGGTTGTTTCCCATGAATACTGTCTCATGATCAGAAGTTTCAAAGTCTTAAAACCAACTCCTATTTGGGCTCATATGGAAATTGCAGCCTGAATCTAACACCCATTCCTTAGTAGTGTCAGATGTTGACACTGTAAGGACTTCTGGTTCATATATTAGGTTATTTGTGGTAGCCAAATTGTTCTCAATGTTTCCTAATTTCTGTTTCTTCTTTCAGTCAAAACAGTTTTTCTTTAAATGACCTGTTTTGTTACAGTAAAAACACTTCCTAGTTTTAGTCTTAGCCTTACTGTTTCCTTTCCATTTCTTCTTATTCTTACCCCCCTGACTATGCTGGTTTCCTTTACTAGATTGGCCAGTTTCTATTCTACCCTTTACATTCCCTAGCCTTAAGACCAGCAATAACTAGATCTACACTAGGTACAGTACCCGAGTACTATAGGGCATTCTTGACTACTTGGTAGTCTTCCAGTAGTGAGTTTAACAGTATCATGGCAAGGCTGGTTTCTGTTAACTCTTAGTCTGTGCCTTTCAAGATCAAAGTCATTCTTAAAAACTCATCCAAATTTTCCTCAATTGATTTTGAATTATCCATTTTATACGAAAATAAAGCTCCCTTTAAAAAAGCAAGATTCGGTGCAGACTGTAAAGCATATAAAGATTCTAGCTTACCCCATAGTCCAAGAGGAGTTTCGAATTCATCTACATTTTGAAGCACACTGTCCGAGAGGTTCATCACAATTAGTTTGTAGGCCTCTTCGTCAATCTCTTCCTTCTTCCTTAATTTGTCATATGCCCACTTCTTGGAGTCCTTTTCCAATGCGATTGCGACCTTGTTGTGTGAAAGGAGGGCTTTCATCTTCTTCTTCCAGCTTCCAAAATCAATCTTTCCATCGTATTGGTTGATCTCCAACCGTGTGGTGGTTGCAGTGGTCATTTTTAGGGTTAATTTTTAGAAAGCCCCAAATTGTAAACCCTAGGTCTTTTTGCCCTAACCTTTATACGACTTCTGGAACCCTAGATTTTTCCCAAGATTTGTCAAGATTGACAATTTCACTCAAATCTCGAAACCTTAGATCTATTGGAAGACTCAGAGAACTCAATTTTAGAAAATCCCCAAATTTCCCGAAACCCTAGTTTTCACGAATCGTCTTCTATCGGGACACCGAGACTTCAATCATCTAATCTAAACTCCAAAGGCAGCTCTGATACCATTGTTA